ACCATTAGGTATTATTGACTAGTTTAATTATTATTAAATATCTTCACTAACTCACTTAATCAACATATTAATCTTGATTAAGGTAATTTGATTAAGTTACATTAAATAACGCCAGGTGGATACAATAGCGGCAAACTCTAATAACTTACTAATGTTAAGTACCTACCTATCCTACATAGGTACATATAGACATGGAATTTCGAGTTTCAATTACTGTAACAGGTGCTACTAGTACATCAAGTAGACAGACTATTCCGTATCTTCTCGTTAATACGACATTGTCATTTTTTTTATTCACACGAACTGTTCACACGCAAAATGAGTATTCAAAATGTTTAAGACACAATGAATAATAAATCGATCAATTCCAGAAAATTCAAAGGCAACCCTAAATAAAATTAAGTAACACGCCCTATTATTTAGGTACCACTTTTTGTATTTACAATAATACTTGCAATTAGTAAAAAAGAATTACTGTTCTGTATCTGGTTCTGCATTTTTATAACGGAAGCTTATCGAAACTATTATTTCTCATCTTTTTGAAAATCAATACATCGGAACAATAAAATAAGATGTAAAAACTTATTACTTTTATCTGTTGGCTGAACTTTTTTATCGTTTTTATCGTTATTATCAACCGTTTATGTTTATTATAACACTGTCTTTGTNAACCCTAAATAAAATTAAGTTACACGTCCTATTATTTGGGTACTACTTTTTGTATTTACAATAATACTTGCAATTAGTAAAAAAGAATTACTGTTCCTATATTAATATTAGTGTTGCCACAGACCGCTTCCGCAATTGCGGAAGTTCCGCATACTTTTCACATCCGCTTCTGCATCTGGTTCTGCATTTTTATAACGGAAGCTTATCGGAACTATTTTTTTCATCTTTTTGAAAATCAATACATCGGAACAATAAAATAAGATGTAAAAACTTATTACTTTTATCTGTTGGCTGAACTTTTTTATCGTTTTTATCGTTATTATCAACCGTTTATGTTTATTATTTTGTTAATTATAACACTGTCTTTATGCAAATAACTTTATTATAGTTTAGGGCTTAAATCTATTTTCTAGTACTTGGTGTGTTGATATTTTCCAAACTTATTAGTTTCTTACTTTTATCCAAAAACGTTCAGGACTTTCAGCTCCACCTTAGTCAATTCTGCTAATAATTCATTTCGAAAATACCAATACAGACATAGCGTTTGTTTATTTTGTATTGTGTTTGCTCAGTGGTGTAAATTTTAAGTTAAAAATACAGTTATAAAGCCAAGAAAAAGTTCCATTTGGGATTATTTTGTTGCAACAAAATATTCGCGAAAAGGACGCACTACATTGAAAAGTCACCTAAAATATTACACTTCCGCATCCGCTTCCGTTTTCGCTTCCGCAAAAATTTACTATTTACTTATGTTCCCGCTATGACACTTCCGTTGTATCACTTATATTCCAATAAATTAAATTCTTTTTCTGTAATGGTTGTAAAACATATTTGATATTGAAGACAGTGATGAACGCAGAATCAGGACCCGAAGGTTCAAAATGCGCCAATGCTTGAAAGCGTAATTCTACCTCGAAAATATGGTATGCACGTTTGCGATTATCCTGTAATTAAAATGTTGCATATACAGTGAAAAATTTGTAAATGGCCGCTACTTCAGATATTTGAAATTATGCACCCCGAGCCGCCACTGAAGTTGGATGAAAGAATTTATTTCAATGGCCGCATCTTTTTATTGCTTTGTGTAAAAATTTTCAATTTTTCACAAAACTATGATACCGTAGTTATTTGATTTGAAAGTAAATTACGCGCAAAACTAGTAGGTGTAGGTAGTAGGTAGATAACAATAAAAGAAATTGTTATGTAACGTCGTTTTTCTAAAAAAAAAAAACAGTATGCTTAACCTCGATATTGTGAAAAATAAACCAAAAAAACAAAATAATAAGTCCTTGAATCGTTAATATGACGCATATTCCCTACACTTAGATTACAAGCACTAATTACTGGCTCATGTTTAAGTAACCCACTTCCCTAGACAAAAATTTTCAGTCCCTCTCCAGTCTCTCAGAGCCTTTCAGCATCTCTGTGAGCGTCTTTCACAGTCTTTGACCGTCTCTCAGTTATTGCCTAGGTGTTTTTATGGATCTCTCACAGACTCTATATGAGAGACTAGAACGATAAAATTATTAATTCAGAGATTCGAGTCTCTCACAGAGAGACTGAATGAATAAAACTGAAAAATTGAGAGACTCGAGACTCGTAGAAAGACTGGGATCTCTGAAATATCTTAAACTTAGAAAATGTTAACCATGTCTACCGAGACACCACTTATTGAGAGATTCGAGTCTCTCGTTCAGAGATTCGAGTCTCTCGTTCAGAGACTGGATACGAAATGAGGATCTCTCTACGAGCGACTCGAGTCTCTCGTTCAGAGACGCTAAACAGTTTTTTTGACAGTCTCTCGACAGTCTCTCTCGATGAAAGACGGAGACTCGAGTCTCGCATTCAGAGACTCTGAGAGACAACATTTTTAGCTCGGGTTGAATCAGGACATTTTTAGAACTAAAGAAAAGACCCTACCAATCTTTCTAAAATTGGATGAGTTTTCAAACAACATTGTTGATTCAAGCTATTTGGGTACTTATGTTTTTCTGGAGACCTGGAGGGTGTCACTCAACATTTCACGAAGTTTTAAAGCTAGATATATGTTAATCTTTAGGGATCTTTTAGATCCCCCTATATCCCCACCCCATGCAGAGATGGCGTGACTCTTAATTTGAAACGCTCGGTATTTAAAAAAAATCAAACTTGTTTATTTACATAAAGCTAGGTAACTTTTACTTAGACCCCCCACCCCTCACGTGATTAAAGGCAGGCTTTTATCAGAACCCACCCCCTTCCAAGCAGGCTACGTGATTTATCACTTAGTCTATGTTTCGATTGAAGAAATGCTTCATTAAATCTAACCAATAAATTTGCAAACAATACCCAATCAAAAATTTTCCATTTGCTATCTCAAACAAAAACATATATAGTGCATTTCTTATTACCATAAAATTTGTCATCCTAGATGTTCAATTTTGTACGTTTTTGATAAATATTATTTCAAGTAGTACTATCGAAAATTAATTGCTTGCCAAAAACGTTACGTTGATTATGCCTTAGGAACTTTTATGGAGAATTACGTATGTATAATAATGTTTAAAATAGTATTCACTATCAATTAAAATTTGTTTCTTCAAAAATTTTAAAATACTTAGCGAAAATACGCTAGGAAATGTTATCGGTGACAAAAATTTTCACTCTCTCAGAGTCTTTCAGAGTTTTTCAGCGTCTCTCACAGTCTTTCATAGTCTCTCAATTATTACCTAGGTGTTTTTATGGATCTCTCACACTCTCTGTATGAGAGCAGACGAACGATAAAATTGTTAAATTAGAGATTCGAGTCTCTCACAGAGAGACTTAATTAATAAAACTGAAAAATTGAGAGACTCAAGTCTTTCGTAGAAAGACTGGGATCTCTGAAATATGTTGAACTTATAAAATTTTAACCATGTCTATCGAGACACCACTTATTGAGAGATTCGAGTCTCTCGTTCAGAGATTCGAGTCTCTCTTTCAGAGACTGGATACGAAATGAGGATTTCTCTATGAGAGACTCGAGTCTCTCGTTCAGAGACGTTAAACAGTTTTTTTGACAGTCTCTCTCAGCGCCACTAGAGAGACTCGATGAGAGACGGAGACTCGAGTCTCGCTTTCAGAAACTCGGAGAGACTGAACATTTTTATCTCGGGTACTCTTTATCATATTGGGAATTTATTCGTGTGGACCTTAAGGGTGGCACCAGCGATGCAACACACAGAATCCAGACCCACCCCGCTGCTTGTCTTTAACATAGGTATGACTCACTTTCAAAAAACCCCTACCCCTATTCCATTAAACTTCCTATCACTAATTAAAGATTTGTTGAATTTCACAATAATACGAAAATAATAAGTTTAAGTATTAATATTCAATATAAAATTGATTTCACTAGTATTTTCCTTGCTGTGTCTATCCAAACGGAAATACTTTTATAGGAAACTGACGAATACTACTCTAGATTAAATTCAGCTAAACCAATTTCGATAGTTAATTAACAAAAAGCAACAGCACGTGAAGAATCATCTACAGTAATTGTCAAAATATTAGCACAAAGCTAAAACCACCGGTCAAATTTGTTTTCTAATTTTATTTCAGGTAAACATTCAAATCAAAAATCGATCGAAAAAAAAAACAAAATTAGATTATTTACGAGATATTCATCTTCATAATTATAGGATAATTCATTAGAGGTTCCATACGATGTTGAATTATGTTTAGTCTTAAAAGTGATAGATAAGGACAACAGTAAAAATCGATTAAGTACGATATTGAATTATTCTGAGCCTTAAAAGTGACTGATATTGACAAAAGTAAAAATCAATTAAGTATCTAATTATTTGAGACTAAATACAGAAATCATGGGCTTCTGTTTTCATCTATAATAAACACGAAGTTTTGGCATGACAAAATTAAATAAAAAAAACCACAATCATACCGAAAGTTATTTTTAAAGAACGTTGAGTCTATTAATATCACAATATCAACTATTAATAAGTAGTATTACAAAATAATTTTGACAGATGCACTTTGAGAATTTGTTTATTGTTCAGTTAAGATATATGCTGGCATATAAAATTAAAAAAAAATGTATTATAAATCTAAAATTTCTGAATCAATAACAACGACTCTATATATTTATATTTTCAATTTTTTTCACTTTAACAAATTAAAAAGACACTTCATAAATGATATTGTAATTACTTTATTAGTGCAATTACTTGGCGATTAAAAAAAAAAACAAAATCCTTCTTAAATTTTTGTTTTTCTTTTTAAAAATTTAATTTCGTTATTTATAGACAAAAGCTAGTGTTACGTTTTTTTTTACAATAATCGTAATCGTCACTCACCTGTTGTAAGTTCAAGTTCAGTGAAAAAAAAATCTTATTCACGTAATGAGAAATCAACTGGACTGGGACGTCGCCGTCGTCGCGAGACTAGAGTTACGACAAATTTTCACTATGTATGTATTATTGTATCATTTAACCAATATTATCCGTTGCAGTAAGCCCCCACCTGTCTTCTGAAGTGGTGGTAATGATCTGATGCCTTAATAAAAAAAATAAAGGAAATATCAATTAATTTTACGGCCTTCATTAATGTCATCATTTTATTTCCCACACTTAATTAAAGGCTCCGCAATTAAAACAAACTTAATACAAATCGAAATTATATCAAAACCGCTCAGGCAAAAGTTGGGTTGAGTTTAGCAATATTCTAAACAATATCTAGAAGAAATTCTCCTGAAAAATGTCCAGTAGGTCCAAAACTGCAAAATTTCCAAAAAATGTTACGCATTAATCAATAACTCAAAAGCGAAGTCCCCATGAAAAAAAATTTACTGGAGATATTTTGTTACTCGTTAAATTTTGTAAAAGACAAGATTATTTCGACTTTGGAATTTGAAATTTTTAGTTTGCTAAATAGACAAAAACTGCGAAAAACGTTCCTGCAAGTCAACATACTAGAAAATAAATGCATTCAATGAAAATCTAGAATAAAATAGTGTTAATTATAAATAACTAGGCCTCAGAGTTCATATAGGATTGTTTAAAAAATTCAATATTCATACATGTAGCAGTGTTCGAGCTCCTGCAAATTTTTCAGTGAATGTCGAGGGGCGCACAAGTATTGTACTTATATTTCGACTGTGCATACGTTGTACTTTACAAGACACATAAAGTACGCAAAAATACTTTATTTACGGCCTTAAGTAAACATCATAATTTTGTAAGGGATTATTCGAAATTCAGAGCATTTTTACATCAATAATTTTGCACTGAAAAATGGCAAGCCATATTTACGGAACAACCTGATTTCCCAAATCTGTTCAAAGTAGTGCCACTTTTGCTGTCCGTTCCGGCCACTTCAGCCTTTACAGAAAGAGTATTCTCTGTTATGAACACAAAGTGGCGGGACGACAGGAATAAAGCTTCATTAAAACTAATTAAAAATGGACTTTTAGTTTACTTAAATCTTTGTTTGCTATGTTTAGAGGCTATTAATGTATTTAAGAGCGACAGCAATTTGTTACTGGCTGCTAGGTGTAACAAAAAATATGTTTTTAAAAACAAAAAATAAAATACTTTATTTTTATGC